CCTGCCATACCAGCTCCACAAAAACAAGGTGGGGAGAAACCCCTGGCAGAGAGGACTGTTGAAATGGCTTGGTATTTTCTTACTGGAGAAGGTCATGACTGGATGTGGCCTCAGTCCCTTATGGAGGACCATGTTCTGGACACCTTCGCCATCCTATGAACACTTTATCCTATGACCCCAAATGCAAACACAGACCATCAGGGAATGCATGCGCTCAGTTTCCTGGAAGGAGGATCCTGTGACTAAGGTTATATGGCAGGACATTATTTCCTTGTCCTCCTGTGACATGATCAGATAACCCCTTCCCATGAGGCTGTGAAAGCTAGCGTATCTGTCCCTTGAGACATGCACAGCTAATAGCGTGTCAGTGGAGAAACTAAGGTCCTCATGAAGCGTCTGGAATAGGCAAGGCTACCAGAGCAATCTGTCCAGCCTGCGGCGTGTGTCCAGCTACCATCTCACCAGTCTGCAAGAAAGAGGGTGGCAAGGAATGAACTATGGGTTGACTGCATTCTTCTGGTGGGTCAAATTCAGAATGCGATCCTTTGGATGGGCTCTCTGGCTTAAGAAACTATGAAATAGCTTCAGTATTGTTGATGGATAAGGAGTTGCCCACGTAAGAAGAACAACTACAACATACATTTGCAAGTACTGAGATGTGCATTCTGGTCTTGACCTTTTCCAGTATCTTGTAAAAACCAGTAGCGTCTGTTAATTGGCCTGAATCTGCTTTTTCTTGCTGAAAAAATTAAATTTTGTCCTTGCAGACTTTCACTCCATCATCTCTTCAGATTCTACAGTGTTGCTGTGACAAGTCCAGGTGAGGTTTTACTCGGTGAGTGAATGGACAGAGGACCTAAGCATCTCAGTTGCACTGACCAGTGCATTGTGCATGGCATGCTCCCAGTCCCGTGATGGTTGATTTTGTGCATGGCTGCAGGATGCCCCTTTGCATAAGGAGTATGTCCACTGATACACACTGAACACCTTTTGCTATACTCGTTATATGGATGGGAGGCCACTGGAACAAAGAACCATTGATGCAAGTTTAAAAGATGAAGACCTAGTATCAGTGTACCCATTTCAGCAGCCAGTGAGATTTCTCCTTTGAAAGTAAAGCCAAAAACCTTCAGGCCAGTTCAGCTAGATGGATCAAAGATCTTCAGTGTGAACAGGCTGAGATAGTTTGGCATATAACATTAGTCTTTATACTTACTCGAGATTTCCAGAGATTCTGACTAGCAATGTCTTTTTTAATGCAATGATGTGGTGCTGTAAGTGTTGTGGTGGCGCCTAGGAAATCAGTCTGAACTGGGTCTCGTTCTGCTGGATGAGATACACGGCAAAAAGATGATTGCCCCTGCAAGAGATCCAAAGGCTCGTCCAAACTAGCTAACACATTAAGTACTCTGGTGTGCATGCTGTGTTTTCAAAACATGTTAGCATTATTTTGTCTCTAATATTGAAGAGATCTGACAGTGTTACTCAGCTGTGTCATTCTCACAAGCCACGGAAGATGCAGAGATTATGTTTAGCCAGCTTTCTGCGCTGTCTAATTTTGTGCTGGCAGGCTGAATTCCTGAGGTATGTTAGATGAGTCTCAGAGCTGCCTTAATTTATGCTGGCCAAACCATTTCCTTCTGCAGCATTTCACAGGTGCGGGATCAGCAGAGCGATTCGTGTTCCACTCCCAGACCGCCCCTGCTCAATATCTACAACAGTTTATCCCTGAATTCCCAGCAAGGGGACAAATGCTGCCACCAAGCTTAAAAAAGCTTTATTGATCTGAGAGCACTCGGAGAGACTCGGCAGCAACACAAAGTGCAACCGCATCGCTCCATCACACTGCTTGCACGTGAATTTGGAGAACTAAAATTTTCATCAGCACACCCTGTATTTTGCTGGTATTTTAATTGCATCAGGCCACGTAGTAGGACGGAGGGTTGCATCTAGTTCCTTCCCAGAGATCCAATCTCGTTTGGTTTTGTGTTTGGCAAAGTAGATAATTTTTTTTTTATCAAATCCTTCTGGAATGGAAATTTTGGCTCAGACTCTTCAGCTGAAAGAAACTATCTAATCTCCCTGTAGGTTTTTCCTTGTGTGAAGGTACAATCTAGCTGCCATATCATTGTTGAGTCTGGAGTTTAAGTGGACACTGAAATAAATAAAAGCCACACCTGCCGCAGGCCAGTCCCCATCCCTATTTGATTATGTTGTTTTCTTACAGAAGATTTTTGGTGGCTGTAGCTAATCTAGAATCTTAAGGGCGATTAATTGGACAAATCAGTTTAGTTGGGTAGCCGATTCTGTGCAAACCTAAGCAGAATAGTAATGTGTGACTAATACACAGTGGCACTCTGCATGAGATAAAGATGCGTGTGTAACATACACAACACAAGCCCAGGATACCGTGGGAAGAAAAGACAAAAATATTTTAACAGTAGATACGTGCTACTCCTCCACTCCAAAGAGCACCATTTTCTGCAGAACAAACACAGTGCTGTAGAGACAGTGAACCACGACCTTCGCTCTCTGTTGTCAGGTACCCTGAGACCCCATTGCTCTCTCTTAAATGTTTTCCAGTCTGGAAACAAGTGAGAAACTTCTCAGCTCTGTTCCAGCTTAACCAAGTCATAGAGCAGCTGCCTGCTGATAAGCCAAGGGGCTCATTTTTGGGGAAAATCTGGGATACTGTAAATCTCATTCTCTGTCAGGTGACAATAGTTGGTGGTCATGCCAAAGAACTCCATTCGTTTTTCTGTGCAGATACAAAATCATTAGGTGTTCCCAGCTCCCTGGCCTTAATTCTCAACCTGCACATGTTGGTATTTACATTGTATGCCTCTTAAGTTGAAAAAAAGAAGACTCAGAAAATGATTTCTTGGGTCTGAGGGGGAGAGAGAGGCACAGATACTTTACACTGGCATGGCCGCTGTGTGGTGAACTCTTGGTCAACAGACTTGGAGCCACTGAAGAACATCGTAGAAGATGACCTGTGTTAAATATCAGCCCCCTCCAGAATTGAGGATTAACTACACTCAGGTCCACGGACCATGTGCAGTAACTTCCGTGGATCCAAGAGGTACTAAAACTGTCCTGCAGCAGTGACACCACTCCACACATGTCACAAACACGGGCCAGCAAGAGATGTTGGAGGTGCCACATGGGTAGGGACCAATTGTCAAGTGTCTCCAGTCCCTCAGCCACTGATACAGTGAGTCCAGCACAGAACGTACTGCGGGCACTGCCCACTGGCCCACCGGCCCCTGGAGCAGGCTGGCGCAGGGAGAGCCTTGGTAGTAGTGTTCAGGGAAGAAGAAATGAAGCAGCTTTGAGAAGAGGGGCTGAAGGCAGGCTCCGGGCGCAGCCAGTGGCTCTCACGGGGTCTGTCCCTGCAGAGGGGAGGGTGTGGGTGCGGTGCACCCCTCCGGGTGGGCCACGCTCCCCTCGGCGGGCCGGGGACAGTGGGCCGAGAGCCCACAGTATTACACCCCTGCATGTGCAAACCACCCAACGTCTCAAATACTCTCTTCTGCTGCTCTCATTCTTCATCTCAAAGCCCCACATATTCTGTATGTGAAGGAGACACCAACTGCAATCACAAGTAAGTTCTAGAAGAGTCGCAGACATCAGAAGAGGCAGACCTGCTGGGCTGAAGAGTTAAAGCCTAGCAGTCAGTCATGTACTGGGGATGGCTACTGAGCAGTCACACCAACACCATCATGTCAACAGCTGTGTTGACCTCTGGTGAGGCACTGGGGCCACCAGAACCCTGATTCAAAGATTTTTTTCCGGGTGGTTATTCTGCTGGGAAAGACACAGAGACTTACCAGATGGTAACCAGCTGTTTCTTTTCCTTTCCATCAAAGGCTGGTCTTCCCAGAAGGGCCAACATTTCCCAGTTCTCCAAGTTTCTTGGTGGTATAGTCTATACTGGCAGTTGCACATGGCAAAATCCACTTCCCATGGCTCTGCTCGTCTGTGTATTTTTACATTTTATAAATTCTATTTATGTATAAATATTAATATATACAAGGTTTTCATTCTTAAGAGTTGTTGAAATATTTTTCTTTTTTTTTTTAAATGTTCTTTTTAAAAAAAAGTTTAATATCTGAGCCATTTAAAATCTGTTATGGTTTCCAGCTTTCTAATGTATTTTTTCCCATGGAGAGATTGAACACAATTCTTATTACCCAAAACCTTTTGAGTAACATCAGCTATAGTTTCTTATGAATTTAATTATTCTCCTCTTGCAAAGGTCCCTGTGCCAGAACTGCTAAGTCTGCTAGGAGTTGTCTGCAGGGCACTTCCTTCAGTCTTTCTATGTCCATCCACTCTCCCTCAAAAGGGGATAATAAAAGTAATGAGTTCTCTTGGTTTCCCCATTCTTGCTTTTTGTCTCCATCTCTGCAAATAAGTTCAGCATCATCAGAGTGAGATAGATTTTGTAAACAGCTCCAAAGGACTAATCTCTTCTGCCCCTAACCGAAAGGACCAGACTCTGTAAGGACCTGCTGTGTAGTGGAACATCAACTTTATTTCTACATTCAGTAACTTAGACTATTAGAGCTCCCCAGTGTTGGGCCTCCCCAAGCCCAGGGCCACTCTGAGCTTTCTTCCAGTATTCCTCCTACAATCTTTCACTGTCTGACCTGCCTCCTTACTTCATTTTTATGGCTCTTCCTTTCTTTCCTCCTCGGTTTTCCCTTCCGCTGGCTTCTGTGCTGCCTTCTGCTCCTTTAAGTGACTGATTGGAAAGAGAGAGGTGAACCAGTATGAATTCGGTAAAGTGAACTTCCCTTGTCAGGTATCTTAGAGCTGCTGAGAGAACCTTGAGAAAACAGCCTGAGGTGGGAACACTAAGGACAGCAAAGGTCAAAACTCTTCTGACTGTTGTCTACAAGGTGAATATTACGACTGCCACATATGCTACATGCTAAAATGCATTAAGCAGCTAGATAAGGAGTAGATATTAGTATTTCTTTTTCCCCACGTATCAACTTAGCAGCATTAATGGCACCAAATGAAGTCTTTGCTGACCATTCGATTTCAATGGTTCCTAATTTGCTTACTACTTAATTACAGTTCCACAATTTGTCCTTGAAGTACTTGGGAACCCCATGTAACCTCTAATTCAACATTTATCCAGGCTAAGGCCTGTCTAGCGTCTGAGCATGGATGCTTTTAGTACGGCACTGATGTATGCGAAGGAATAAAGACTGGATCTAACAAAGTAACGCGCTTCTCTTTGAAAATGTTAGGAAGCTAAGAGGTGAAGAGATTTGCAAAACTGACCCATTGCTTCTAGCCTTAAGACTAGACTACAGCATATATTTAAATCCATCAATAAGCACTGAGGGATGGGAATATTTGGGCATGATTAATAGGGCTTTCAGCTGATGAGTCACATGTCAGAACTGATGGGAAACCTAGGGGGAATTTTGAGTCCAACGATGAGCGGTTTAGCCTGCAGCGACTTACAACCTCCAAGGAGTTTGCTGCTGACTGCTCAGGCTCTCAGAACTTGGACATGCTTGCTACAGGCACTAAGGAACAGGCACTTTCAAGAGAATGAAAAGTTCTGTAGTTTGAAGGTGGGTTTCCAGGGAAAACTAGGTCTCCTAAGAAGAAGGATCAGAGAGAATGAAAAAATGAGAGTCTTTGAGCATGGAGGAAGAGGTCTGAAGGCACAGATGCACTGTATTTGCAAATCTTACCCTGGCTTCAGGGGGAGGACAGCGTTGAGCTGATGCTTCTCACACAGGCTTACAAACATGAGTGAAAATGCCATTCAGCTCTGAGATCCCTGCACTCTCACAGCAAGTTTATCAAATGGAAACATAAGACTGACTTCTAGTTTGACTCAACAGGGCTGCTAAGCATGCAAGGTGTTATTTCACCTACCTTTTACTTAGGTAAGTAATGGACTAGCCAAAACCATAATGTCCCTTCACCTTCTCAGGTGAATAAGGATATACTTATTTGATGTTGAGCCAAATTAAAAAAAGAAAGACAAGCCAGGACAGTAAGTGGAGTCACTCACTCCCCTATAGTCCATTGACCCCTGTCTGATTCCGGTCTAACTTGCGCACTAGTTCTGCAATCTGGACTCGATCCAGTGGGATGCTTGATTGCTAAGAGTTGAAGATAAATGTTAGCAAACCTGGATATTTTCAAGCAGAAAAATCCTCCATATCATACTGGGACCCATCATCTTTTAACAGGTGAGCAGATGGCCTGGTGCATGGCAGAAGGGATAGAAAAAAAGCCATGGAGTGGTGCTGGGGAGGCAACTTCACTCTTTTTGGGGTTAAAATTACAAATTTTTGCATTTTTTTGTAAAATAGCATCGTGGCTGGCTAACCATTGCTACTGATCCCAAGCGCATGGTGGTTTTGGCAGGAAGAGAACTGTCTACTTTGTGTGTAGAGGCAAGGGTTTAAATGCCTCTTTCTGACTTTCCCATATCAGTTAGACATAATTAGCTATCAAGATCCTGTATATCCTATACAAACAGCTGACCTCTGTGATTTTACAAGGATCCTGTGATTCTCTAAAGTTGATCCATTGTCACTGATGCCATCTACACTATTTATTGGATGTCATAGCATTTCTGTTGGGTGTCAGGGCTCAACTTTTGCAATGGGTAAATTTGGCCTTTTAGTCTGAACAATGTCACCAGCAAGGCTGGTGGCTGTGCTGCAGCAGAGAGGTTTCCCCAGAGCAGCACCCTGCCAGAAGAGCATCCTGGCCGTGCTTTGAGGCACACCTGCATCAAGGCTCTCCGGAAGGCTGCCACAGGGATCTTCGTGTTTCCATCTTTGTCAGTACTCCTAAAAAAGTCCCAGAGTTGCAGGTTGTGTTCTTTCAAGTAATTCTAAGAGAAGCAGAGATAAAATGTGGGCATGACCATGAAACAGCCATTGATACCTGCCTCCAGCTCTCCCCTTATTTTTCCATCTGTCACTCAGCCTATACTGAGCCTATCACTGAGACAGGAGTCCATAACTCCTTGCGCAGCCACCCTATTGTCAGAACAAAATTATTTTGTTCAAGTTAATCCCATTCTTCTCAGTTATACCTCCTTCTCCCCCTCAATTCGAGATAAACCTTGAAATGAGACTCAGTAGCAAAGCTGTTCCTTCTGATAATTGCATATGGTTATTTGGTCCTCTTCCCAGCAGCCACTGCCTGGCTAGGCTGTCTAATCCAGAGACAGCCCGCTCCCCCAGATCTCTGATCACTTGAGAGTTGCTTTCTCTGAATTCCCATCTGTTTGAATGAGGACATATCTGAGTACCATAAATGCTGTTAAAAACTGCAAAGCGTGCTAGTGTCAGTGTCACTAAGCAGCACTGCTTGATGTGAGCTAACAGCCCAAGGTTTTGCTTAAGCTCATCTGAATCCATATCTACAGCAAAGACTCACCCAATTAGCTAAAAATCTGCACAGCAGCTAAGAAACGTGGTGAAGTCGGTTGTGCAGAAGTGCTACTTCACTCAGCAAGGCTCAAATGCTTGCATTGTCTTCCAGCAAGGAGGACAGCACCATCTGCTGCTTTCCTTAGAAATTACAGTCCTTGAGAAGCTAAGTGATTTCTGTTGAAGACAGTGTTTACTTGTAATATCATATCCTACTTTTAAGAAGCATATTAATTTTGATGCTAAAGCACAACTGTCAGTGAAATGGTCTATGAAAGTCAGCTATTGCAGTGGGCTTGTGATGAGAATGGGCACTCATCTGGATCAGACCTGAAATCAATCAGTTTACTTCACGCAGCAAGCAAACATCTATTCAGATTTTTTTTTTCCCCAGTGCTCTCAGATCCCAAGGCATTAGTTTCTCCTGAAGATCAAAGGATTTGCTTAGTAAGTCTGTGTGGACTGAGATATGTGAACATTGTGACAGTCTTTTTGAATATACTCTTCTGAAAGTACTTGGCTGAATTTCCCACTTGGAAGAAAGCTTTCCCTTTCCAAACTCACTCCCACCAAGTGCTTGGAGCATGTATACTGTGTATAGGGGAGCTATGGACCCAAATTCAGTAGCTCACCTGAATCAGTTTATGGGATTTGGATGCTGCTCGGGGATCTTGGCGATACAGCCTTCGACCTCACCATAGATGACATCTAGTTCAGGACGTGTTTGACACACCAAATCCAGCAACTTGATGAAAGTTTCATTCACCAACACATTCTGGTACATAGGAGGAAGGAGAGTGCAGTCAGTGTGGACACCCAAAGAACAATAAAGTATTGTATCGAGTTTTGTATAAACAAATCCATCTAAAGTCAGCATAAACCATTCTCTCCTAAGGGCGGTGACTTCTCCCATCTCTACTCTTTGCTTTCAGGGATCCCAGGCCTAAACAAGTGTTCTTCATCCTTTTTTCCTATGCCTGAGACAGAAAAGGATCTACTAATTTATGTAGAAATTAACTTAATGTAAGCTAGATGTTCATCAGGTAAATGTCTACACCGAAGACCTCTTAAGTTATTCAGGTGATTCATGCCCACCCCTGAGATAGTTCTACATGGGTCTCCTCTCCATTTGGTTAACATGAAGACTGCAAATTGAATAGTCAATGGCCAAAATGTACCATACAGTTCTGCAAAAATAAATTTTAAAAAATTTCGTCCAAGGCCTACAAGGATTAGTATCCTCAGCAATGTAGCCCAGACAAGAAAGATGCATCTATCTGGCAAGGGTCCGGGTCTCCGGGTGAAAAGAATGCTTGGTAAAGCACTATTTCATTGTGTAACCCTAATAGGAAGCTCCAGGCAGCAGTACAAGACCTAATGTTTGTTTTTTCCTGAGGATTTCAAACAGGGTAGTGACAGCTCAGCGTTTCAGTGCTCACACTGTGAGTTTTCTGGTTTCGTACTTACAGAATGGGCAGCAGCACAGTGTCCTGATTTAGAGTTTTGTGACACTAGAAAGTAAAACTATCGATGCAAATATTGATGTCACTGCATTTTATTCTCCTAAATTGAAGTTATGACAACTTTGCCTTGGCCAATCTTTTGAAACTGTGATTATGATTCTGTTCACACCCACGATGGCAGAGGAATTGTTCATATATGATGTTAGCTATATATTTAATTGTTGGAAATTTCAAGGCAGTTCAGGGAACTCGTGAATGCTTCTGTTTTCTGTCATTGAAGGAGGTTTCCAAGGCATCAGGCACTGTATTTTTTCGCCGAAGTGTATTTACCAAGTCTCCCAATGCATTCTTATAGCTGCTTTTTTAGAAGCTTAAGATCTGCTGGTCTTAAGACACATCTAGAAGTTTGTGATCTACTGTGCAGTAAGCTCTTGACTGTTACTATTCAAAGACAGTCTTGAACGAGTCTGGGTCTGGCTGGGTTTATGAGTTTTCCTTCACCACCAATGGTTTTATGGACGCAGAGTGAGTCTCTGAAGAAGCCATCCAGACATCCCTGCACCATGCACTAGCAGAGCGTCCTAGTCCTGGGCACAGTACAGGAGAGCCCGAGCTGTCTCTGCTGCCTGCCAGCTCTTCCCAAGGCTCGCTGGCCTGGACTTGGCCCCATGAGAAAGCCAGTGGACCACCAGTGTGGCCTCGGAAGCAGCATAGCTGAAGCACCGCGTCTGGCCTAACACACCGCTCTGGGGCTGGGAGGCACCTGGAGGGACCCAGCCTCTGCATTTCTGCGTCTTTGACACAGTCAGTTCGCAGTCCAGAAAAACAGCACACGGACAGCTGAAAAGCGATGGCATTTTCTTTTGTACTGTGATGGTGAAGATGGGTGTGTGCTGGCTGTTTTTGTTCATGACTTCTATTAAATATTTGATAGTGTCTGCAAGTTGAAACCCTGTAAAGAATTGATTGTGAAATGAATGTAGGGAACAGTCACGTTTAGAAATGTTGTTAGAAGCAATAAACTGTTGTTAAACATGTGCCTTTCTATCACCTCACCTTTATTAGTGCTGTCAAATCCTTGCAAAGGTTTGTAGATATGATCCTTATTCAAAATTCCTCTTACAGACACACTAATTATTCATTCTTTAGAAGTCAAGACAAACATTCATCACTGGGAAAAGGGGTGGATGGGCTTTTGTTTATGTCTTCCCTTAAATTTTCTATAAAATATTAAAACCTTTACTAATTTCTTAAAAGTTGAAGACAGCATAAGATCTTTGGAGCTGTATATTTGCAAATACTCTGAATTGAAATGCAAGTCTCCCTGCATCACAGGTGGAATGAAGTCTGTCAGACAGATTAGATGTTTGCCTACAAGCATTTGGTTGGGATACTGAAATGTCACTGCAAATTTATGCCATTGACCATTTATCTTGTGAAATGCCAGGTAATTTAGAGTTTTTGAAGGGTGAGGTGAAGAGACCATCTGTTAACCCTAGAAATCAGAAATGCATAGTGAGATTTAGGTTGGACTGAAGATTCTTAATGTTAATTAACTCCTTGCCTCAAAATTTCTTGAGTGCCTCATTTTAAATAAGTGCATTTCAATAATTTGTTTAATTTCTCAGAATTTAGCTAAAATACATTGCTCTTTCCAAGTGTATGAATTGTTTAGGTCATTAGTAACAAAACTAGAAGAACCACATGTACTGTAACGAAGTCCTTTACCCCCACACAGTCCGTTTTAGTTTTTCTTTGCAGAATGAGGCCTGACTCCTTGCAGGCTTGGCAAATAATTCTCTTTGATCTTAATTTATGTGGGAAGAATTGTCTGCCTTAGAGGAATGCTGTTCTTCAGATGATCTCTGTTGAAAGCTCTTGATACTCTCAGGAAAGACCATAGATGAATATTATATATTCTGCCTTGGTTTAGTTGCTTTCCTCAATACAGTAACCACAGGACAAAGCAACATATGCAGATATAACTTCAATACAACCCATTACACGAATCTCCAAAACTGCCCATAAACTTTTTTTTAGCTTGTCTGAAGTGTGAACATGTTATTTATGTTCCCAGTCCCAAACCTAATCTCTATGAAAATGCTCTTTCCTTTAATCGTGGTGCTCCCAAAGGTGGATGGAGGGCCCCGAGGCCCCTGACACCTTCTGTAACTGCTCCCATGAAGCAACAATGCGTGGATGGGAGGGCCAGGAGCAGACTGATGTGTGCCCAGGTCTCTCCTTAGCACTGGTCTGCAATCCAACCCCTACCCCCACTCAGCAGCTCAGAAGCATTTCTGGGTCTCCCATTTTAGAAGCAGCGTGTGAGGTTACAACAATATGTGCTGTGCTCCTGACTTGCTAAGCAGTAACATACTAAGATTTGGCCTCTTTGATGTTTTTTTCCTTCCACACCAGTCTTTTAATGTTGGGATCTCTGCTGGCAATTTTTTTTTTTTTTTTTTTTTAAGTAAAATTGCTTTGCTTTCAACGCCTTGAAGCATCCATCTTCTTCTACATCTCATACATATTGACAGGGTATCAAAGCGCTTCACAGTATCTAGTATCTGGGCCTACTCTGGAGGCAGACAGCTCAGGGGATGAAGAGAATTCATCTTCTAGTGGGATTTCACTCCTTGTTCTTGTTCTGCTATTGCAAAATGAAAGGGAGTGAAATGCAGTGATACTAAAGGCATCTCTCCCCAGACCTAGACCAAAGCACTATAATTTCCACATGGTTCCCAGAAGGGCTGTCAAATAGTAGTCTTTTTTTGTTAATGGCGGTGCATAAATGAAACAAACAGCAAGTCTCAAAACAGTTTTGGAAGGGGGCAGCTCTGTGATCCACCTCGTTCCTAAAAATGTATAGTGTATGGTCCTGGAGGCTTTCCAGCACAGAAGGTCTTACTGAGATGTTGATCTCCTCCATCATGGATCTGGGGTTCTTTCTGACAGATGTGACTAGTGCAGTGGCACCTTCCATGGTCAGGGGATTATTTGCCATCTGTGGAAGAAGAGACATAGATTCAGACATGGTGAGAATGAGGGTTTAATGCCTGGCAGAAGGTGTGCTGCCGCCTCAGGGATGACCCTTTCTTCCCATTCTTCAGCAGGGCTGTAGAATAACTGTGGTCCCTTTCAATGGATTTATCTGTTATCTCACCATCTCTTGCCTCTGTTCCACAAAACTGTGCAATGCAGCTTCCTAGTGGAGTTGCCTTCTCACCTTCTCTCTGTCTCCTTGTGTGAGATTCCACATACCAGGTCTCTCACATCTGTCACGCAGGAATATATTGTGTGATGGGGAGAGGCTAAGGCAATGGGCTGCATTTGAATGTGTGCTTGTGAGTGGGGCCGCTCTGGATGGGGATGTGCCTCTCGGGACATTTCCCATACCCTTGGTTCCTTTTGGCAGTACAGCAGATCAGAGCTCAAGCTGATCGTCTGCCTCTGGCCTACAAGGTCTAGCACTCTGGTGTTATGAAGTCGGCATTGCCACGTGCGTCTCTTAGTGTGTGAACATCAGCTCTCCCCCACCTTGGACTTCATGTGCAGCCCCCACTCCAGCTATTTGAAAGAAAACTTTCTTGGTTAACATTTGCCAGCAGAAGACATGTCCTCCTTTAAGTCCTTTGTGTTATCACCTCCTAAGACACCCTGTGCAGCTACATAAAGAGAGGAATGCCTTGGTGCGAGTCAGTGACCTATCCTCGAGCCAGGTTAAGAGCAAGGCAAACAGACATATTTATTTGCATAATTAAACCAGCAGCCCCAAAGCCTGATGTGGTTGCAGTGATTTACAAAGATAGGAGTGTCCAAAGACAGGCCTACATGAACAGCTTTAAAGATGCCCCTCAACCACCATATTGCCGTTTGTAGGCTCTCAGGATGGTTATGTTAGATCTAGCTGAGAATGAAGCGCGTAAGCAAGCTGACTTTTCTCAGCTGAATTCCCAGAGAATGATCTTGGATTGAGAAGATGTTTTAGCTCTCAGCCCTAACCTCTGAAGCCAGCTTGGCTGTTCACTCAGTTTTGTCCTTCCCAGGATCATGGATCCCTAGGTTGCTAGAAGGCAGTTTTGGCTTTCTTTTTCCAGGACTTCATAATACTCCTCTCCTTTCGGTAGTGCTGTGGCATTGCCCTGATGTGGCAATGACAGTTTATCCTGTGTTTGAATAAATTTTTAGCAAATCATGAAGACACTGAGAAAGGCAGACTCTTCATTGTGAACCTTTGCCTTAGGCTGAAATGCATATTACGTGTACATATGTACCTTCACATCTACGTTTTATGTATATATGCAGACTTGTTGAATGTCTAGGTTCTCACTTGACTGAGACTAGGACATGGCAGGAATTGACCACTTCAGGGTGATAGGAGGTGTGGGGTTATGTCAAGTCAGTCCCTGGGGGATTTTTTGAGGGAACAGTGCAATTTAGTTGCCTTGGCAGAAATTCACGGGATAGAATTTCCTTCTGCTCTGCTCACCTTCAACCCAGAGCAATACTAATTTCCTCCCATTATAGCTCAGGCAGCTCACCTGTCTTGTGTCCCTCCTGACAGATCTTTCTACTCCCTCTGTTTATTCTTCCAACCATGCCTGAGCTTTATTTTACCTTCAGTTTTCCATTGACTTCAAGGCCCTTGCAGAGCTTCTTGGCTCCCTCATTGTTGATCTGGTTGTTGCTGATGTCCAGGTGAACCAGCACATTATTGACTTTAAGAGCTTCTCCGAGGGCCACTGCTCCCTCATTGCCAATGCCATTCCAAGAAAGGTTGAGTATTTTCAGCGCACCATTGCCCTCCAGAGAGAGAAGAGAGATCTTAGCTACTGCACACCCATCTTCTGCACCACCCTACCCTTTCTTGCCCGGCTGAGAAAGGAGCATCCCTCAAGTTATACCCAGGCAGCCCCAATGAATCCAACATCTCTGCAATGTCACCAGGGTCTCTCCAACCATGTAAGTCACTAGACTTGCTCACTGCTTTAGTCTTTCTCCTGGCACTGACTGCCACTGTCAGTAGGATGAAACTTGCTAGAGCTACTGAATCCTGCTCAGACCTCAGGGATTTGAGTTCCCAGTCAGTGTTTCCACCAGCTCCTGGAAATAACCACTGTGAAGGGTATCACAAAACAGGGGCATTCCTACCCTGAGGCCTGTGCTCAGTGCTACTGTCCCCTTCCTCCTCAGGTGGTTCCAGCTCAGGTCCAGAATCTCCAGTGTTGTGTTGCTGGCTAGGAGAGAGAAACTGGGATGTTAGCTCATGAAGAGTGGTCTGCACACAGCTGCTGGCCCACACTTAGGGAATAAGAGAAAGTTTGCTGGAGGTTCAGCAACAGCCTTCATTGACTGCAGTAGGAGGAACCTGTACCTACAGAGTCTTTTCTGTCCACAGCGCCCAAAGAACTGAGAATGGGCTGTTGATCACAAGCAGAGAGGGAACACAGGTTTTTTTTCCAACTTAAAGAATAAGTTGTGAAGGAGGAAGGTTGAGAGAGAGAGCATTTCTTGTATTAATAGACATCGTCTGTGTTTCTCACTGCAAAAAATGACTGGATTCTCCTTGCCACATCTAAAATATCAAGACTCACTCTGCATATATTTGATTAGCAGAAGAGAGGAATTCAGCTTCGTATGGTAGCTGTGCCCAGCTGTATACGTGCCAGTGCAAATTCACATGCATAGCACACCTCATGGTGTAAGTTCTACTTAGAGCAGGGTATGTGTGAATTGTGTCTACTGAGACACTGGGAGGGGTAGGACTTGCTGCCAACACTTGCTTCTCATTCTCAGAGAGGATTTCTTCTACAGATTTTTCGTGGTTAGGAGGTTGGATGGAGGCAGATGGTGAGTTTAGCTGACTTAAAAATATTCTCTTAAGAAGCAAAACAGAAAAGTAGTAGATTCTGCAGTAATCTCTACTGCTCCTGCCTCAAGAAAGCTGGAAGGAGAGAAGAGCTGTGAGACCTTTAAGTTTGGAGAGGCATCTTTCTAGGCTAGCAAGGTCACAAGTTTTGGTACTGATTTCTGCGTTGCCTGCAGGCTTGTCCAAGACAGGGGCACATTGCCTTGGCCCTCACTGCAGTTTCAATTGATCCATCTTTTAAAGACATGGACTGTAGTTAGAAAGAAGCTCATATCAGTGGAAATATCGAACCAGGAGAAGGAAAGTGTTAATTAAACTGAAAGCATTGTGTTACTGAAATGCTGAAGGAGCACTGGACGCTCACAGCACATTCTTGTAGCCATTGTGGTAGCAGGCATATTGGACATGCTGAGGGAAGAAGAGCCGTCAGATATTCATGCAAGTCTTTCCCAGTACACTAACAGCAGCTGAGATTACTAAAGGACTGTGACTGTTTTGTTTCCTTTCCCTCTCCAGATGTACTAGCACACTCTGGGTCTCACTTTGTCTGAACAGACAAATTAGGCAGTTTAATTTTATTTCTTCCTAATCTGTTTCACTTGCTGCTTGCTGTGCAATGGCTCAAACCATTAGAATTTGGGCTACTTAAGAAAAATTGAAATCACTCCTGAACTTTGCAATCAAAAGCTTAAAACATTCAACAGTTCTGATCCTATTAGATTTTAGTAAAATGCAATTTTCTGCTTTATACTCCCTGAGGAACTTCTCTTTCAGCTCTCTTCTCTCTGACACAGACAGCTCTGTTACTGTGGCTTCTCATCCTGAATTTGTGTTCTGATACACTAGTTGTAGTTGCTAGATGAGGTGGTGATGAGGGTGAGCCTGTGGACCAGGCAGGAAGCTCTCAATTTGGGTGTTCTGTCTTTTGCATGACCCGCCAGGTCGTGGGGTATTTTTGCTGGAGAAGGAAATACATGTTCACTGTGCTGACGCCATCAAGTTCCCCAGTGCCTGTACTCCTGGCTTTGTGGGAGTAATAAATTGAATTACCGAGCATCTGTCCCAGGAGCTGTCCTCCCTTCTCATGGAACTCACTGTGGCCAAGATCCAGCTCCTTCACTTGGTAATTGCCCTGCAGAGAGACAAATGTGCAGACACAATGAGATCTTCCAGCCGGCTGCAACCAGCTGCCACGCCGAGGCCCCCCCATGAGGACAAAACAGAGGGATATCAGGCACACTGAAATCTTCTGTGCATGGGAGATCATCAGCACAGAGACTGAGGCTCTGCGTGCCCCAAAACAAAGCTTTGTCAGGCATGTAACATCACAGTGATTATCTTCCCAAAACAGCAAAAGCGATGGGACTTTGTGTTGTGCAGACTTCTCTCACACAGCTCACATCTGGCCTGCAGCACATCCTGCAGTTCTGTTCCTGCCCCTGTCTCACTCCCACCACTGGACCCTGACCAAGAGCACTTTCTGGTATCACGTCAAGGCCTTGCTTCAGCTCAGCTTCTGATGGTGCTCAGTGACGCAGATGGCTTTGAGATAGGAACTAACCAGAGAAGTCAAGCGTCTTCTTTTTACTGGAGAATTGCAAAATGATATGAAGTTGGGTTACTTATGCTTCTTGAAAAATTTTTGTCACCCAGATGCCATTCTGTTGCTCTGTTACACAGTCCTGAAGGTTTGTTTCTCAGCTAGACCTCACACGGCTGTCCTGAGAAAATGTTAATGCAGTCCATTCTGCTCTGTGTCCTCTCAACCTCTCTCATTTCTGAGTTGAGCAAGAGGCACTTAGCAGAATTATGCCAGGAAATCATATGGGCATTGACAGGTGAAATCATGCCAAGTGAGTAGCAGCTTCAAGATGAGGAGTGTCTGTTACACAGCCAGGGCTGCAGATGACCTTGGATTTCAGGTAACTCACCATTAATGCCTCAGCAAAGTACGATGCAGTCTCCTCTCCAAAGTTGTTTCCTGGGGAGGAAAAGTATGTTAGCAGTGTGCTGACCTCTCCCTCAGCACTGAGCTGGGGTCTGCAGGAAGCTGTGCTTTTAGGTGGAACCTCCAGTTAATCATGGCCCACGTTGGGCTGTAAGAAGTTAGCCACTATTCCACTTTGCTCCATAGAGTAGAATTACCCCAAGATGTGGGACACACTCCAGCAATTATCTAAGTTTCTTGTAAGGGACTGGTTTTCAGAGGTGCTGGAGATTGAGCAGGCCAAATATTTAATCACATCACTATAAAACTGAATTTCCACTGTTACTCTGGATTCCCGTCAGAGACATAGCTGAGAGATTGATTTTGCCCATAGTCTGACCAATATTCTCAGGATGAGAGACTGGAATGAAACACATCTTATTTCACTTCCAGTGCCATCACTCTTTGGGTGCATACAGCCCACCTGAAAGCTGAAGAGCATGGAGGTAGGACATGTTATCCAAAAGCAAACTGGCAATGGCTTCAGCTCCTGCAGCGTCTAGGTGGTTATTGGAGATGTTCTGGAAGGAAAGAAGAGAGGATAAGAAGGATGAGTCCAAAGAATGTATTAGTTTTATTGTCTTCTTAATGCCCAAGGTATCAAGATGCAAGATGAGCAATAAGAGAAATGTCAGCCAGACAGTAATCAAAGTGTGACTTATAGGTGTGTTTAACCCTGTATCCTTCCTAACAGGAATAAAGACCTACCGTCATCAGTTTCAAGTAGGTCTTTGTCTTCAGTGAACCAAGAGGCATTTGACCAAGAATCTTTTCTTCCTGTGTAACACAGGCGCCATAGCCTATCAAAATTCATTTTGTATACCCCAGTTTCAGATCAAAGGAACATTCGTGCCAGTTCATATCTGAAAGTTTTGCATTATTCCCTTAATCTATTTAGAAAAGTTTCCCCATGTCGTATTGGAGAATGAAAAGTTCCTGACCAAACTATTTTTCCCATTGGCTCAGCATGAACTAGACAGACTTAGTTATGGTAATTATTGTCACATCTGCTAATGAAGAGAGCAGTTCCAGACTCACCAGACTGCCATCACATGTGCAGTTCTGCTTTTCAGAAGCTTGTGCTTTTAAAAAGTAGAGCAGCATAAAATATCATGACTTTCAGAATATGAAAATTTTCTCAGGGGAACAACGGCTATTTAGTTAAATTTGTAATGGAACTAAATGGTTTTATTTCATATGATTGAACTTGGTGAGCAATAATTTTGGCTACAAACTACGCCAGATTGGGCACCAGTTCTTGAAGAGAGAAATTCTCTCGTAGCATCTCTGCTATGCATATGGCTCCTTCTGCCCGAATGCAGTTGTCTTCCAACTCTAGATGGGTGACAGTTGCGTTGGACTGGGAAGACACAAAGACACACAAAAAAAAATGCTGAAAAGTTATTGAAGGGGATAGTCTCCTCAGTTCAACAGACACTGGACATTTCCTTCAAACCTCTGAAGGCACTGCAGATCCTGAGCAGGACAGTGATCAGGCGACGTGGCAGAGCCATGGCAGTGGGAGCTGGCATACAAAAGCTTTTTTTTGAGAGGCTGCAAGTGGGTAGGACTTCCCATTGCTTTCTGCCAGCCTGAAGATCCAGGTTCAGATCCAAGCTCTGATTCAGGCATCCTGGGCCTGTCCATTGGTGAGCGTGGCACATCCCCATGCAGGACCCAGAGTGGGGGATACTAATCCCTCCAGCCCTACTTCTGGCCCCATAGAGGTTAGGAGCACTGGGGGCTTGTGTCCCATGGAAGAGCATGAGTTTGCTTTTGGGGGTAACTCTAGCAAAGGCCAGCAGTTGCCACACAAGACTTTCCTGTGCAGGGGATTAGAGACATAAGGGATGCTCAGAGCTCCTGTGGGGAAGATATATGACTTTTTGTCCCACACTGTGTACTCCAGTGATGTCTTCCAGGCCTGACAGAGGCTTAAAATGCCCATTTTTCTTGAGATCAGTGGCCCCAGTCTTACTGGCTACTCACCACCAGAGCAATAGCAATGGCTTTGACACCTTTGGGTCCTAGACCATGGTGGTTCAGGTTTATATAAGGCTTGGCCAAGTTCTGAATAAAGTGTGAGACAGGCACCACCTCCATCAGCCTGCATGCTTCCAAGTACAGCTATGTGCCTGTAATGCCCACAAAGGCCTCCTCAGGATCTACAGAGAAAAAGTATATCGATGAGTGGTGCATTCAGTGTCCTTCCTCCTCTTGTAAATAAATTAACAATAAAATTAAGTAACACTATGCAACAACAGTAGGGTTTTAGTCTTAAAGGGCTATCGTCCCCTGGGTCTCCCCATCCCTTTATCCCAAACTGCTAAGAGTTAATGTATCCTGCTTGCTTCTCCATTTGGCATCCAGTGACTTGCTGCAGCTTCTCACCAGTCTGCAATGTGACTAAAACTTTCTTGGTGTAATTGAGAATTCTCGACATCAGGCAAAAACATTTTCATCTTCTTTTTCTTCTTTAAAATCTTAATTGAAGCATGCAGCTGATATTGCCAGCAGAGCTAGGGCAGCTCAGAACATTTTGGCTTACAACCAGCAGAAAGAATCCCAGCATTCTCATCTTGGCCATTGGACGTTGTTGACACAGCTGCAGTGAGACATATCACTGCAGCTGGCGGCTATATTTCCACAAAAACCTGTCATTTGGAATTTCTTCACCAAACCCCATACTTAGAGCTCATATTTCTCCATGTTGTTGTATGCACTTAATGGTCTGACCTCAAGACAAATTCCCCTCTCTTCAAAGCCATTTTCCAGTTCAGTCTGAGGCCTCTAACAAAAAAGTGGGTTTTTTTCTTGCATTCTTATGTTTTTTTTAATTTTCCTTCCATTTATAACAAGTTAAAAAGTTCTTAAATTATGGACAAATCCTACTGTTACAAAAATGAGTGCAAGACATGTTTAGTTGGACTGACTTCACTAGGCAGGAGATAAGAGGAGAGCCACCAGAAAAGTCTGGGACAGTTGTGGCAAACCTATGGCACGCAGACTGCAATCGCTATGCAGTATTTCATAAACAGGGCCACAGTTCCATCCCTGACTTCAGCCTGCTGCTCCTGCTGCCCAGGCAGCAGCCTGGTCTGGTAATGTTGGTTATTAAGGACTAGAGGAGAGAAGAAGGAACAAAGGAATAGTCATGGTGTATAAAGAGCAGTTGAAGGAAAATGCTTGACGTCAAAGGGAGAGCTCTTAGAGGGAAATTCATGCCCTCTGCCTTTATCAACTGCCAGATTAGATGTGGTTGTCAGGACCCTGGCAGGGTTCTGTCCTTGGTCTCCATTTCGGATATAAACCAGGTGGTAGGTACAACTCTGTAAGGGGAAAGGCTGGTGAGGGCAGATGGTGCGAAAACAGTCACCTTCAACCTCTAGATCAGCGTCAGAGCCTTCTGTGGCCTTCTCTGCTGAGGCATCAGCCAGTGACACAGACTCCGGAGACTCACTGGTATTCAACGTCTCTTCATTCTGGTCTGCCATGAAACCAAACAGATTCATGTTGTCAGTGCAAGCCCAGCACAGATGTGACTCCCTGATGTGACAGACTGACTCTCACTGAAGCCTGTGCCCCTCTTCAGCATGCTATGGGTGTGCTCCTTCCCCAGCCCGCTTCGTGCCCACCGCTCCCTGTGCACTGTGTGCCTGAGGTGCTGGTCCTGGCACGGGGACGGCTCACTCTGGGGCTGCAGATTTGCAGACTGGCCATGGCTCTGCAGCTTTCAGAAAGAGCCCTGCCCAAATCCAGCATGCAGCCCATGTGCAGGGGACTCGCTGTTCTCCTGCATTGGGGCTTCATTCCTCATGAGCTGCCTCTCTCCCCTTCTGCAATTTCTGAGATCACAAGGCAACAGCAAATTTCCCCTCCCTGTCCCAGTCTCCCACCAGCCTACAAGACCAGCCTGTGCCAGTTCTTCCTAGCTGTCCTGAACTGACTCACACTTCCCCAGGCACTGGCGGGACACAGCTGGCTGACTGCTGTCAGCCTGGGAATCCTCTGAAGTACTCTTCAAGCATGGCAGAAGAGAAAGCATTTGGATGCTATTGTACATTGGGACTGAGTGTAACCAGACCCACTGGAAGTGGTACAGCTTCTCTTGCCTGCAATTCAGATTTTATTTTATAGATAGAGAGAAGGAGAATTTGGAAAATTCCTTTTCAAGGGGAGTACAAAAATAATGAAGAGTAATTTTGCCAAAATAATTTCTGGCTAATAACAAAATACATACTTTTTTCCAACTCTTAACTTTTCTTTTCATTCCCTGTCACTGCTTTCATTACCTTCTTCTCTCATTCCTTATTTCCCTTTAGAGCTCCAGGCTATTAACCTGTAGTTTTTTTGCCCTTCTTGAATGTCATTTAGCATTGGTGTGTGACGTGGAGCTTGCAGCATGGCTGTTCATGCAGACTTGTGTGAGGGAAAGACTGGCCAGCTGGCACCCACATCACCACATTTCAACCAGCCCTGCAGCTGCAGCTCCTTCATTAAAACCATTTCCTTCTGCCAGACTTTATTTGTTCAAATGATGGGTTTACTTGCATTACTTTAGCATGATAAAGACAAAAGAATGAGTAAAAATAGGTTTAAATCCCATAAAAAGAGCTCACGAGACAAGTAGAACCAAAGATTTGGGACATTATGATAGTACCCCCTGATCCTCTTTGCTTAATGGCCCTACAGTGCTGCACATCTGATAAAAATAAACTTCCCGCTCTGGGGAACAGCCTTTGTGTGCTGCACAAAACCCATCCAGACTGCATCATCTCCTGATAATGTGGCTGCCATGTGCCCAGTACATCAGCCACCCTGCAGTGTGCGGACCGAGCCTTCCAAGGTAGGTCCAGAAGTGGTCCCTGCACCCCTGTGGAGCTGCAGAAGTTGGCACTGATACAGAAAATAATATTGTTATTCAAGCAGAATTTTGAAAAGCACTGAGTCATGGTTAGTGGTGTTAAAACCAATGCAGTGGAAAGTGATGGGTCTAGAGACTCCTTTATCACCCTCTCCTTTCCCCAGCTGTTGGGTTTGTGGTCAGCCTGCCTTGTGCACGGCTCGTACCGGTCATGAGCCGGGAGCTAGGAGGGGAGTTCACTCCATGGTTTGGCGTGCGACTTACATCCAGATAACTGCAAATCCCATCTCTCGTGCTGGGTTAACAATGCCTGTTCTCTGAGTATGTTGCTTTACGCTGTCCCCTCATTTGTGTTGTACAAATACTCGATCATTCACACTATCAATTTATACTTCAGGACCTCTGTGGAGTAGCGAAAATGTTGATCATCTTTTGTCTCGCATTGCTGCAAGGTCCTAGTTCGTGCTGCAAAACTAATGAAATGTTCTTTCTTAGAATCACTAGTAATAGCGATGGATGTAAAGGTCAGATGAAGATTTTAATAAATTGTTCTCCTTCTCTGCCAGGACAGAATCTAATTGATGTATGCTAAGGAATTTCAGCTGTGAAAGAAAGCCACCAAGGTTGTCCTCACTTCTTTCATTCTCTTCGTTGAAAGTCTGGCATAAGAAATACATCAGAACAACAGCTCAACTGGGGCAGCTCATGAAATGGAACATAGCATTTTGCAGTATGATACTGCATGCAAAATTATACTAATGTAAACATGCAAATGTAAGCATTTTTTTGCATTCTGTAAGGAATCAGTTAATTCAACGATGTGTCAAACTATATGATTATACTAACTTTGGAGTATTAACTGTTGAAGGAATCTATGAGGAAACAGCTGTGAGACACGTGATTTTGTACCTAAGCAAACTCTAAGCAAAGTATTTAGGAATTAATATCCTAAATGTTTTCATTTATTGAAAAAATGAGAATTTAGGTTTATTATGATTTAGAAAATGTGTGTGCCCTAGCTTTGTCATCTAGTCAAGACTATAAAATCTTTATCTCTTTATCTTTATTTTAAGTCATGCTACTGTGGATATCAAAAGACTTATAGAGAAATTAAACAAATAAAACATAGAAACAAATAAAATACAGATTTTTTTCTCACTCCTAACATAAATAATTTAGAACAAGAAAAAAGCAAAACAACCAGATATTTTGACAACATTTTGTCTCTGGAATAAAGTAGGATTAACAATTACACCATTCTCTTCGCTGCTACTGCCAGTCAAATTCATCCAGCCTTTTGCCCGCAATTATTTAATCCAATATGTAAGGGAAAATGGCAACCAACTATTAACTGACCAGGTATTTCCTAGTGATAATATTTTTGAAGTTAATGCTGTCAAAAACCCATGAGAAATAATAATTTTAATATAATAATTTGGGTTTGATAGCAGGTGATTAATTATGTCAGATCCCACTTAAGGAGTGAAAGGTTCAAGAGGTCACAGCCAAGAACAGAAACCTCGTTTGCAGAAAAGCTATCTAAAGCGGACAAATCCCAAATAGGCAATAAATGATTATTGCTGGATCAAAAAAGCCCCCAGAGCTACCTTTACAGAAAAATAAGAAAGGATATTTAGACAAATGTAATTTTGAAACAATGGAAAATATTCTGATAAAGGATCGCATCGATTAGAACATCCATTAGGGAAAATTATTATTTAACACTTCATAAATTGCATTATATTCTATTTAAATACAGATAAACAAGAACGAAAGATAGAAGTTGCCCCACATATCTGACTACCTTACAGTAATTGCATTACGAAGGAAAGTAAGAAATTAATTTGTAACGACTAAGTGACAGGCCAAAGGAGGCTTTGAACTTTGAGAGGAACCCTTACGCTAAGCTAGGAAGTTGGGCCAAAGCCCTGCGAGCAGACCCAGAGCCTGACGCTGCCAGGTACGAGCACAGCCTGACGGCAGCAGGTTCAGAAAACTCTTCTGCCCGTCGCACCCTGCCTGTCCTGCTGGGCAGTGGAGGGCTCAGACAGGATCTGGTCTCACAAGGTGCTGAGCTCCACACCACCTCCCGTGGGAATCAGGGGCAGCTGAGGGGAGTTGCCTGGAAGCTGACATTGGCAAGTCCTCCTCTGGTGGATTTTACTTTTTCTGAGCTGCTCCTGGATGGCTGCTCCTGTCTCAGGGTGCTGGCACCCCGTTCCTTCTCACTGCTGCCTTCCCACCTGGTGATGAGCCTGCAGCAACCTCGGTCCCTACTGAGCACTGGAGATTTGCCTTTGGCCATTTCTGACTATTTCTGAAGTGAGTTTGCTAGTAACTAAACACTGCACCTGCGTCTTGCTCTGACTCGTTCTCCGTGTCACCAGCAGCGAGTGGTGGGTTCATTTGCTTTTTCTCTTCTGTAAGTGAAGAGTTCATAGCCACATCCTAGACCCTGTAAGTTCCTCACACCTACAACAAAAAGGGCAGCCGCTCAGCTACGGTTAAAAAATCTCCAGGAGGACTGGTGCCACTTGTAAGATCTGTGTTCTTCATCTATGCTGCTCATGAACAGGACAATACCGCTGCAGGGGCTGGCCGGGCATCACAAGAAAGCCCTGCAGAGCCTGCGGCCGCCCTGTCCCCCCACCGTGCCGCTGCTACCCTTCTGTGACCTCGTCTGCACCTTCTGACTCCGAGGGGCGACATTCAGTGCTGGAAGCCCTGTTGCTCTGGGATCCCATCGATTCCCAGACAACAGATGAGGTTTTGGCTGTGAGACCCCGCCAAGACGTATCAGACAATAGTGCCAAGCTGCTGGTAGGAGTTGTCCTCTCCTTTTGAGTTCGTATTCCGGTTTGTACGATTTCATGAGAAAGCCAGACAGCAGCAGTTACAGTCTTAGAGGAGATGAGGATTGAAGGAGTGTATTCACCTTACTGGTCTCAAACAGATTCAGACTTCTCTGCTGCCAAATTCCCCATCCATTCGGTAATAAAGTGTGGCTTGCAAACATGTCAGCACTTAATGGGGCCTCAAACCAAGTACTCATTCAACCCACCAGCTACTGTTGGATCCAAAATTGGTTCAATACTTATTATTTCACATCATCTATACCGAGGACTCTTTAACCTTTCCTAAGGGGTTAAAACCAAAACTGTAACAGAAGAGGCTTTCTGATAAAGGTTGAGCAGAACTAATACATACACTTAGAAATCTTCCCATCTTTGTCTTCTGAGCAATGCTCAGTGAACATCATCTCTCGTACAAATTTTGAAGTTTATGTAGCCTACACGGTGTAATATGGGCTATACAGAGAGGAAGAAAGAGTCCATTTCCCCAAGGGCAGGGTATTTTTAGTGGTTTTATTCCTCTGGGTTCTACATAAACCTCTCAAGTAGTCCAGTCATTAGAGGCCATAGTAGGGTTTTATTTGGATATAGAACAAAATGCCGCAAAAGCCAGTGGACGGTTTGACCCTGAAGCAGATGATCATCATCAGCTTTGATTTTATCGCCAAAGTTTGTAAATATTTTTTCTACTGTAGGCAAAACAACTGTGGCTGTCCGGATGCTTGATTGTTTGTGGTACCGGCTAACATTCTTCTCTGATTTCAGTCTAATTATCCTGATGTGGGTTGGGTTTGAAGATACTTTCTTAGATTTTTCCTTTTAAAGAATAGCGTTGTTTTAAGTCATCAGCCCCTGATATTCCAGATCCTTCCTCTGAGGAACACCCTCCATTTTCTGCCTAAAAACCAATGATGGTTCCAGAGTTTTGCTTACTGCAGCAGGAGATGGGAGACCACAGTTCGGTTCTGTGCTTTGCTAGAGACATCTGTGGGATTTGAGACAAGTCACTGTGTCTATGGTCTGTGGTGTTTTATAACTGGAGATTTGAAAACGAGACTGGTGGGATTACTGGCGAGGAGTGGCTGGAAATCTGCCTGGCGGAAAAGGACCTGGGGGTACTGGTCAACATCCGTCTGAACATGAGCCAACAGTGTGCCCAGGTGGCCAAGAAGGCCAACGGCATCCTGGCTTGTATCAGGACTAGTGTGGCCAGCAGGAGTAGGGAGGTGATCGTGCCCCCGTACTCGGCACTGGTGAGGCTGCACCTGGAGTACTGTGTTCAGTTTTGGGCCCCTCACGACAAGAAGGACACTGAGGTGCTGGAGCGTGTCCAGAGAAGGGCAGTGAGGCTGGTGAGGGGTCTAGAGAACAAGTCTTATGAGGAGCGCCTGAAGGAACTGGGGCTGTTTAGTCTGGAGGAGGCTGAGGGGGGACGTTATTGCTCTCTACAACTACCTGAAAGGAGGTTGGAGTAAGGCGGGTGTTGGTCTCTTCTCCCAGGTAACTAGAGATAGGACGAGAGGCAATGGCCTCAAGCTGGGTCAGGGGAGGTTTAGGTTAGATAGTAGGAAAAATTACTGAAAGAGTGGTCAGACATTGGAACAGGCTGCCCAGGGAGGTGGTTGAGTCACCATCCCTGGAGGTGTTCAAAAAACGTGTAGATGTGGCACTTCATGATATTATGCCATTATTAGGCATGGTGGTGTTGGGTGGATGGTTGGACTCGGTGATCTTAGAGGTCTTTTCCAACCTATGATTCTATGATTCTATGATTCTATTATTTATATACATGATAACATCAGGTCAGATCCTAGCCTGGACACCCGTTTTGCTGATCACCATACACAAATAGGGTAGGAGGCAGGTTGTCTGTCAAAAAGTGTTTCATCTGAGTATAACCCATGAGACAGCAGCTGGTCACCATTAAGGGAGCAGTTTGGCAGCTCTCGTCAGCGCAAAAGGCAGGGAGGACATGAGTGTTGACTTCATCGCAAGTGCCCATCTCAAAGAGAGTTTGGAAGAGGGCTACCGAGATCACACATTAGGAGTGTATATTTGGTGTGAAAAGCCACAGCAGTGCTCAGCTTGATCTGTTTGCCTTCAGATGTTCCACACATTTGATTGTGGAACGAGGCAGAAGATTAAAAACGTGGACTTCAGCCAGGACACCTCTTTTTGTATGAAACTGTCTGGTTTCAGCACGTGACAGGTCTCTACTTGCCGGAGTGCTGGCAGGCAGGTGGGAGGGAGTGACGCTGCAGAGCCGTGAAGACCTGTGAGCAGCACACGGAGGGCCAGCACGCTCCCGCACCGCGCAGGCGTGTCGCCCGTCCCCGGCGGCGTTCGCTCACACAGCGGTTGCGCTCTGCGAAACGTTGACCATCACCGACCGTGTGTGCGAAGCCTGTGTAATTATTAACTCATCTGCTTTATTTGCTTGGTGGCTTTCCAGGGGAAAAGAATTCCTGGAAATTTTCCGTTCCCGTTTGCATTTCTGGATAACAGGGTGGGTAGTGTGCAAACTTTTGTTTGAAAACACAGA